TGTGTGTGAGAGAGAGAGAGAGAGAGAGAGAGAGAGAGAGAGAGAGAGAGAGAGAGAGAAGAGAGAGAGCTAGAATGCTGTTTAAACTTGTTCCTGAGTTGTGGACTTCATAATGCATGGCCAAATTTCCTTAATATTATAACTTTACTTTTAGTGTTTGTATGTTATAACTCAAGGCCAATTTGAAACCTCCTACAGAGTTAAGAAAGACTTTAATATTTTTGTATGTCTTATTTTTAGTTACTCACGGCTGAAGTTGTGTTGTTGTCTCTATCAGTGACACATGGTTCCTCTGCACTCCTGGTGTTTTTACAATTACCTCCTCAGCTGCCCATCAGCCCTCATACATTTCTCTTGCTTCTTAACATCCATCTTACATAGTGTGGTGATTTGAACAAGAAATGCCCCCCATAGGTTTATGTATCTAAACACTTGATCCTTTGTTGGTAGCATTGTTTGCTGCAGTTAGGAGGTGATGTTTTGCTGAAGGAAGTATCTCCTTGCTGGAGATAGGCTTTGAGCATTTATATCCTGGCACCTATTCCTGTTCTGCTTCCTGTCTAGATGAAAAATAAAACCAACCAACTCCCTGTTTGTGATATACCACATGTTCTCCAGAATAATGGCCCCCAGGAACTGTAAACTACAATAATCCTATTCTTCCTTAAGTTTCTTTTGGTCATGGACGTTCACCGTGGTAACAAGAAAGTAACAAATGCACCTAGTTGTAGTATTATTATTATTATTATTATTATTATTATTATTATTATTATTATTATTTTAGTGGTCAGATAGACAATTTGTCAGCATTTGTGAAAGGAACAGAGTGATATAAATAAGAAAACTCTTTCATGAGAAAATCAAAGTCATATATATCTAGTTATCAGGAAAGAGGTACATGGAAAAATAGTGATTACAAACTCATTGTTACAGCTGAGTGAATTCTACAATTTGTTAGATTTTATTCTACATTTTCTAGCATATAAGGTACAGTGATTTCTTTTTCTCATAGTTTGTGCTGGAATCTAGTTGCTCCATTCTTATTTTTGATATGGAATTTTAACTCTGGGAGTTTTCACTGCATACTTTAATAGGAACCGCAGCTACTATTCGTCTTCTGCATTCTACCTTGATCAATACATCAAGCTTTCCACTTACGGTGGTAGATTATGTGTCTTTCATGTGTAATTAGATAATTTTTAATTACTAGAATAAGTGTTCAAATGGATTCTCATTGATGAGATTAAAGATACTCTAAATCTTGGTTTATCTAGGGTATTTGGAGGTGTTCTTACTCCTTCTGAGGCCAGTTTACATCATTCTACCAAGGTTTATATTTTCTCTCTAGAGAGGTGACCCAGCATAGTAATTGCAAACTCTTGGATCCAAGTCCACATGTGCTCTTAAAATTTATTAAAAGTTGAAAAGTTTACAACCAATCAAAATGCAGACCTGTAGAGCCCAGTACCAATGGATACATCTACAAAAACACTCCTGCACCTAAGGCTTAGGGAACATTGTGGAAGAGATGGCAAAAAATATTCTAAGAGCCAGAAGGTCAGGGACTTGCTATTAGATTATGTCTCCCAGTGACATTAGAAGCTACATTCCTAAGGTCTCACCAACATGACCGACCACTCAAACATGAGCTGAACAAGGATGACACCAATGGACATGTCAACTGAGGAAAAGCCCATGAGGGCTCAACCTTATACAAAGAACTACAGGCAACAGAGTAAAGCTGGGGATAGGCGAGGTGATCCTCCCCAGAACAAAGCTCATCAATTGTTTGTCCAGTGCCAAATGTTCAGCCCTGACCTGAAAACAACATAAAATTAACAGTATATGACTCAACAGGTTGTATTTATGAATATATATGTATAAATAAATACATCTATGTATGCAATAACAATTAATGAAAAAGAGGCTAAGAATTTGAAGAACAATAGGGAGGGGTATTTAGGAGGGTTTGGAGGGAGGAATAGGAAGGGAGGAATATTGTACTTTAATTAATTTAATACAATCCAAAAATAAACAAAAAGTTGAAAATAACACATAATATGCAATTAAAAATAAATAATTGATGAGATGATTATCAGGTAATTTAAAAATGATAAGAAAAACTGTGATAAACACAAAAAATTATGAAAAATAATTTTAATAAAAGTGAGAAGGCTGACTTTACCTTACATTTAAAAATAATTTTACTGCCTGGATTAATAGAACCAATAAAACTAAATTTTCACATCTGCTTTCAATCTATTCAGTCTAACTGTTATAGTTAAAGACCATGAAGAATATTGAACCCCATGCCTCAGCTGACTTATTTTCTTGAAAGACTAAATAGTTTTAATATCCATTGAAAATAATGAGGATATATTTTCTTTATGATTACATCATAATGTGAGTGGTTTTTCCTCAAAGAATAGTTACAATGAAGTATTTGAAACCATATCTTTGAACATTCTCTATTCTGATACATTGCAATCCATGAGCATCTTGAATTTACAATGGACTTGGGATTATCGAGCACTGGTCACAGGTAAATGTCAGTTTCATGGTATCTTTATATGTTATACCAAAATAGGAGTTGACACTTCACTGAACATCATAAACCATTAATATAATCACCAATCTCATAAAAATGAAATATTGAGATATAGTCAAAGTGGTGAAAAGGGCAAGGTCTTCAAAATTCTACTTTGTGCTTACAGGCAGAGATTTCATCACTGTTGAAAAATGTTGCTGATGGCTATTTTAATGTAGTAAGTTCGCCTTTCACTGGGAGGATAATCTTGCCAAAAACACAGACTGAAAAAACTGTATTGTACTTTTCAGTTCTTTCATATAAAAACAGTGTCTTACGACGAGAACATATAGGTCAACTCTAACTGAACCAGACACATGCATTTCTCTAAAGTCACCTTTGCCTCTTGCTGTGCAGCCTATATCCTTCAGATAAATGCTTAATGGTGCCCTCAGAATATTAAAAGACTTGTCCTTAAGGGTATAGATTTGAGATAGAATATTGGTAATTTATAAATGCACTAAGACATTCTTTTTCCTCTCTTTTGATGATGAGCATTCAACCTAGGACCCTCATTGTCTAGTTACATGCTCTATAACTTTTTTGACATGCAATCTCTCACCCCTGTGAACGCAATAGCTGTGAAGACCATGAGATCCTAGCAGAGCAGATACTGTCTTGCCTTGGCTTGAGCTCTGACCGCTTGGTTCACTAACTTTACACCATTGGTGCAAACTATAAAACATGGGGAAAAGAGAAAAAAATCTTAGTGTTGTTTCAGATTAGATCTAAAGAGTCCTGGGGACCATACTGTAATAACTCTTCAGTCATTTTGTATAGTAACAGAAAATTCAGGTTGCTCTTATCTGGTGTTGAGAGGGAAGAAATCTTGTTTCTGGAACTCTGCTTTGGGAAGTAAAAATGTCCTCCCTGGCAGGCCTAGAATTGTAAGAAGGCAAGAATGTAAACTTCAATGGGCTCACGGAAAGTGCGTGTGAACCATACTCCACTTATTTTTGATAACTGCATTTTCTATCAAAACAAGGTTACAAATGATTCTGACACCTGGATAAGGTCAGTATATAACACTTGAAAAATGAGAGAAAATTCTCCTGACAAAGGTGTTTATCATCTGGGATCTTCCATGTGCAATGAATGTGAATTTGTACAGGTTACTTGTCACCAGAGTAAAGTCTCTTAGTAATCAGCAACTTGCCCCAGTGGTCGTCAAGGGGATTAAGAACTGTTATATGTAAGAAGGCCAGTATATCAGAAGCTCTCATTTGCTA